GAGGAAGTGATTAAAATGGTGAAACTGTACTGAGCCTGAGGTTTAAGTGCTTCTTGGAATCTGTGAATGATGCAGATTAAATCATTCAGCAACATTAAAATAGAAGAACCATGCTTTACTCTTAACAAGCAAATATAATACATTTTATGAGCGACTATTTTTCTCCTATATAGCTTAATCAATTACAAAATAATTCAGGTACAACCTCTGCATTAGAAGTAGCCTTACTGTTAAAAGAAAGCAAGTCTGATTGTTTATCTTGCTAACTGTCTTTCCTGTAGCCCTCCTGAGTAATACGTTATCTTAGTTTGATTGTGGTATGGATGGTGCAGTTGAGATTAGAGAAAGAACCTCCCTCCCCCCAACTAATTAGTTTGAGTTCTGTCCAAATCGGTTATGATCGTAAATTAGCTCACTTAACTAGCACTGTTGTGGGACTGAGAAAAGAAATGAGCTGAAATGCAGATTTTAACTACGTGAAAGCTGTAGTGGTAAGGCATGGGAGCCAGCTTCACTCATCTGAGCTGGTTGTCTACACTCCTCCTGCAGTCTGACGAGAAAGTAGCACATCAGAGTGAGGTGGATTGCGTCTGCAAATGTCCAAATCAGGTAGTGTGGATGTCTAACTCAGATGCAGGTGTCTGAATGCGGGCAAATGAACCTTGCTGTACGTATGCATTTTGAATAGTTGAAAACTTATTTCGGCATCCATACTTCTTTTCTTCCTTTTATTTTGTTGAGGCTTGTGGTAAAGCGCTCAGTTTCTAGCTACTTAATTTGAAATTAAATATTAGTTATATGACTGTTATTTTTAATGTCCGTTTGATCATTTCTGCTTTGAGCATGGCAAAGAAGGAATTACGTATTGTGTATTGCAGAGCGATCTGTAGAATATAATATAGATTCTCTGATTCTATGGGTTTTTAAAAAATATGACTCATACTCCATAGTTAACATAGTTTGGTGTGTTAGAGCCCAGAACTTTCTCGTCCAGTTATGGCTGTGTTTTAGAGCCCAATAGACAGAGCTATGCGTTGATGAAATTTGGAGCAGCGTCCAGCTGGCTCAACAAATATACGTAGGTAACTTCCCTGATTGTCAAAACAGTTAAAAAAAAAAAAAAAGGCGTAAAGAGAAGTCACTGATTAAATTTCATATCAGTTGAAAGTTGTTTCCCCAATATTTTGGGGGGTGGGGGGGGGGAAAGCCTCAAGTGGACCTAAGCACTGATTAGAAAAATTTCAGGGGTACCAGGGTTTTGCTCTTGCAGGTTAAAAACTCTTTGAGAACTTGTGTCATAACAATGTGTACATAAGCTTATCTCATATTGAAGGCTGTGTACAGAGGTTTTATCTTTTGTGCAGTTAATCTTTCGAGAGCTTATGCTAATCATATTTCAAATGTAAGGAATTTTCTATTTTCTTTCTCCTTTTTAAAAGAAATCAATATAAGAGAAAAACCCACAACCAGCCCAGACTATAAACAAGTGGAAGGTTTCATGATAGAAGGGGAATGTCTCTTGTAAACGAGGATGAGATATTCTTTAAACAGAGCATACATGGAAACTGTCTCAACTTTGAGGCTGAATAAACAAAACTCTGGATATTTCATCAGTGTGTGGTGTGCCTAAATTGGCAGATTTTATGCTATTAGTCTGGATTGTAATTCACAAATGGTATGCTTATATGCATGGCTAAGCTACAGCTACTTCTGCCAACTTCCTCCTTCAAATCTTTTGCTGATTTTGGAGTCATTGTGCAAATGGCCAGAAGGAACAGGTTTTGTTTCTTCACATCCCTTCGTATGGAAGATTGCTTGTTGCAGAACAGAACTGAGCTATGCATCATTAAACTGTACCATTTGTTGCTTGGACCTCTTGGTCAGCATATCAACAGCTGTAGGCGACTTTTAAATGAATCGTTATGATTACCTCCAGGCCGAAAAATGATATTTTTACCAATTGTCACTTTGCTGACTAAGTGCAGTTCGCGTCATTTATTTTTAAAGCATTAGAAAAGCATAGAAATACAAAAGAACACCTAGTATTTCTTGAGTGGCCACCAAGCTCTACGCAAACTATTAAAAAGAGAAGATAAACTTTGTGAAAATTGTGAGTGGTGCTCAGCTGTCAGCAGGTGACTTTGTGACAAAGGGCCTGTAGACTGCTTGTGATAGAGAAGACGCATCTTTAAAAGAACTACCACCAATCTCAGAGAAGGACCCGTTTTCAGACAGAGTAAGGCAGAGCTTCAACTCGCCTTGGACCAGAACTTAATTCATTTTCTCCACCAATTCAGTTTCTCTGCCAGGTGGCTTTGACCATTTCTAGCTTTTGTATTGTGGTTTTATCCGTTTGCATTAGACAAAATGTTTACCAATTCTACTTCTTCTGTGCGCTCTTTTTCTTCTTTTGGAATCTTTTCCTTTATTGCCAGGTATAATAGCAGTTCCAAGCCACTTGTAATAACGATCTTGGTTCTGAATGGCAGTTTTGGTCTTGCTTAAAATCTGCTTAAAATCAACTTTCATGAAAATTCTCCGTGAAGAGGTACAGGTCGTTAGTGCATACTGGTCTTTCACCTGGTGTTCCTGCTCAATGAAGAGCAAAACAGGAAAAAACGTCATGTCAAAGCTTACAGCGAAACCATGCATTCAAAATAATTCTCTTTGGAAACGTTTTAAACAGTATTTATTGCTTTGATGTTGCCTTGATCGTATGTTAATACTCAATTAAAAATAAAACTCCAAGCATCTGAAATTATGTTGTACCTTAAAGCTGAAAGAGAGTAGTTTTGGTTTTAAGTATTTTTTTTTTTTACTCAGACAAAAGAAGAGAAAATGTCAGACTCTTTGATGTTGTCTGTCATACTAGAAGAGTGCAGTACCAGCTCTGATGTATATAATGTTGGCTTCAGTGAGAATACTGATATGAATGAAGATTACTTGTGAGAATAAGGGCATGAGTAAGGGTCTGCAGGTTCCAAGAAAATGTTAGTAAAAGAAATGTATAATTGTGGGCAGAGTCTGCGGAGGTTTCTCAGTGTATCAGCTTGATTTAACAAAAAGCAAGACAGAAGGAGAAAACTGCTCTATAGTTGCTTATGGATTTCTTAGACCCACACTATCAGATTCCTCATCTTCAATGAACATGATGAATGGCAAGGGCTCACAGCAGCTGGATGCCATCTCTTTGAGCTATAAGCCTGTTCTACACAAATTGCTGGATGCTTCTTGTGCTTGGTGTCCCCAATGAATAGGGAAAGGCCTCGTTGTTCTCTCTCTCGCTTTATTTTGTTTCCCCCCTCTCTCCTCTTTTTCTTTCCTGAGTTCTTCATCAACAGCCTGAAATTTATAAACTGTTGAAAGCCTGCAGGTGACGCTTTAACTCTAGCTACTGCACCAGTTGTTTTAGGGGGAGGATGTTGATGAAGGGAAGCGGTGCTAATTGTATCATTTCTCTTTCCTGTGGGCAAGACGCATGTTACTTTTCTTCAGTCCCTTACACAGGCGGTCTTACCCGTCTGGTGGAGTAGGTCTGCCAACTGCTGTATCTCACCTGTTCCTCTGGGTAATGGATGGTGCCATAACATATGTAGTGCCATAGCATGGATGCTTTGCTGAT